GCCACTGAGCTATGTCCCCAGCCCCTTTCTGCAGTTTTGAGTCAGGCTTATAGTCCCAGTGCTTTCCGACAGGGCGGCAAGCCCCACCCCCTTGCTCCACGAGTCTGTCTCCAGTTTCAGTGTCTTCCTCCTCCTGCCCTGTCAGGTGGCTTATTCCACCAACTCTGCTCAAAATGGCATCCAAGGTCTGTGGATGTAGCTCAGCGGTAGAGCACTTCCCTAGCACATGTGAGGCCCTGCAGTCCCCCATAGCACCAAAACACACACACACACACACACACACTCACTCACTCACTCACTCACTCACAGAGCCATCCTGGCCTAGCAGCAGCAGCAGCAGCAACACTACAAAAACCATACTGCAACAGATGCAGGAACTCAGGCCCAGACCCTCTGTGTGTGTGTGTGTGTGTGTGTGTGTGTGTGTGTGTGTGTGTGTGTTTGAGATAAGGCCTCACCATATATATCTGGCTGGCCTTGAATTGCTACGTAGCCCAAATTGGCTTCAGACTTGAAGCAATTCTCTTGCCTCAGCCTCTGGAGTGCTGGGATTACAGGAATGGGCCACCATGCCTGGATTCCCCTGTGTTCTTAGAAGTGTGAGATCCCCTCAGCTCAGGCCTCTTCCCGACTTGCAGCTGGGGAGCATACCCAAGGGAGAACGCCACGCAGGAGGACTAGAAGGAGCCAGTGCTTGATCTCTGCTTCCCCTCAGCCTTTTCCCATTTGTGGGTGGGTGGGATGAAGTATTTTCTGTCACTCACCCTCTCATCTCTGCTCCCTTGCTGAGAGTCTTAGCCAAGAAGCATGGCCCTGGTCCCTAGCTCCTGTGGGACTGGGCTCAGGGGCCTGCATGTCTCAGATCCTACAGAAGCTGATGTAAGGGTTGCTGAAGACTTCGGATCTTTTCCGTAATGAAATACAGTCCCTGTGGTTGGGAAGATAGACTGGGAGAAGGAACTGACAGTCACTGTGTTAAGCATACAGCAAGTGCTCAATAAGTACACTGAATACATGATTTGAGTCCTTTTACCCTTCTAAGTCCTGTGAACTTGGAGAGCCAGATGGGCTTGACTACTAATTCCAAATGATATATGTAGAATACAGGTTTGTCTCCACCCCTTTTGCAGCTTCAGTTTCCCAAATTATTAGAACAGTGAGGTGAGATCTAGAAATCTCAGATCACTAACATTAATGTTCTGTGACTAGGTCTTGATTTGGGACTGCTGGCCATAGCCTCACCCACTGTCCTCATAGCTGCATCCTTGCAGACAGCTGCCAGTTTCCTTGCTTCCTCTAGTGTTGTTCCTCAGACAAGATCTCTGAGGAAAGCAGAGAGGGGTCTGCGCGCTCGAGGAGTGGGTCAGAGGCACAGGCTCTGCAGCCAGCCAGCAGGGGAGCCATTGGGCAGGCGCAGGTAACCGCGCCAGTGCTCACTTGCAGCCTGACCTTGGGCGGACCTCTTCCGGCCCCTTGCCCTCAGAGGTCAGTCTGTCTGGTCCCTGAGGCCCTGCCTCCTGGGGTTCACCTCTTATCCTGACCCCACCTTCCTCCCGCTGCCTTAGCTCCGGGCCCGCATCAGAGCGTGGCTTGCGGCTGCCCGCCCAGAACAGACTGGGGCAGAGAAGAGTCCCCACAGACGCAGACAGCCGCCGACCCTCCACGCCCAGCTACACCCGGACGCTTCCCCCTTCCCCCTCGCCTCGTCGGGCAAGTGGAGCCGGTGGGCACCTAGGTGTGTCCCCTACCTCTTCGGTCACCCCCACTTGCCCCAGAAGTTGTCTCTCCTCCCTTGGGCTCACGGGCTGTTAACTAGATCGTGCAGGCCCTGCTGCTGTTTAGCTGTGTATACCCGACCTACTTCCTGCCCCACTGGTCCTCAGTTTCCCCACCTGTAAGAAGGGGTGCGCGGCCGGGTGGGGGCCTCCCCGCGCTCCACTCCCGCTGCCGGCTCCGCAGTGAGGGGGGAGCGGCGCCGGGAAGCAGCGCTTGGTGTCACGTGACATCCCCCTCCCCGAACTGCGGCGGCGAGCGCCGACTGCGTCCGGGCAGAGCTGCAGCGGCCGCGGCGGGCACCAGAGTGCCGAGCCCAGCAAACCCCGGCCCAGGCCCGCGGTGAGTGCGCCGTGCGAGGAGGGGCCCGCGATGTCCCCGGCTGCCCTCGGCTGCGAGCCGGGACCCCGCACAGGCGGCTGGGCGGGAGGGGGCGAACGGGGAGAGGGCCTTGCGTCGGAGGGGCGCAGGAGGGGCGCAGCCGGGCTCGACCGCAGCTGGAGCAGTGACGGAGGCCCGGCTGCGCTACGGAGCTCCTGCCTGGTGGTGGGGGGCGTCCAGGCAGTACCTGGGGCCTCGGGTCCCACCCCCTGGGTGGGTGAGTGCGGAGTGTGCTCGCGTTGGAGAGGGGGCATTTTGGGTTTCCAGGAGGGTCTGCGGAGAAGTGGGCTCTTTTCCTCCACCTCGGGGAGGGGCCCTGGCCCTAGCAACCTCTAGAGGGAGGCGCCTTGGCCCTCAGTGCAAGGAAGTGGGGTCCTCGGGTCCAACGACCCTGAGCCGGGAGAGCTCAGGAAGAGCGGTGATGTCCTTGCATCCCCGGGGCCAGAGCGCATTACCCCAGCCCTCTGTCTCTGACCGCCAAGGAGCAGGGCTACACATCACGACGTCGAGCGCCCCCTCATCTTCTCTGGCTCGGCAGGATTTGAGGACTTGGTGGGAATTCATAGGACTGTCTCCGTGCCCGGCAGATGCTTTGGTGCCAGCCGCCAGGCACAGGGGCTCAGGGAAGAAACCTTGTTTACACACATCCCACAACACACCCAAGCTCCGGAGGTGAGCGCCCCCACCTCCACCCGGAGTAATATGAACCCAGCTAGGGCTTGACCACCGAGTCCTTGGCATAACACAGGCCTGAGGGTCGATTCAGGACACCCACCCTTCATGTGGCACATTGGCATCTGTCCCTGCCCTTTGCTCCTCTTCTGGGCAAAGTCAGAGGGCTGGGGGCCTGGTCACCAGCAGGATGGCACAGGGAGAATCCAGCCAGGTTGGAAGCAGGAAAGAGGGGCAAAGAGACAGGAAGCAGGTGAGATGGCACAGCCTCTTCCCTGAAGGAGACTGCTCCTGGCCCCCATGAACCCCCTTGGTCAGGGCAGTGACCTCGGTTTCCTGAGTGTCCCTTGGAGGAGAAGCTTCAGCAGTGGTGGCCATGGGTCTTCTAGTTAATGCAAAAGGACTTGAGCCACAGGTGCCACTGAAAGGTGTCTAGGCTGGCGCAGGACCCAGGGCAGCAGCTGAGTGGGTGAGGTGGTGGTCAGGCCCTGCTGGCCCCTGGAGTTTTCTCCCCTCCTGCAGGACCTCCATGGGGGCTTAGACCGCACACACAGTTTCAGGGTCTGGGCAAGGGGTGGGCATGCCTTAGGCCGTGGAAAGGGTGATCATTACCCCTCAGGGTGATCATTACCCCTCAGGCAGCTTGAGCACCGTCCCATCCACGGCAGCATTTTGAGGCAGGCGCTGAGGTCTCCCTTGCACAGGTGTAGAACCGAGCTCAGAGAGACTAAGAAAACTGCCCGAGGACACTGAGTTGTCTTGTGTCCAGGCTAGAATTCCTGTTCTCCTGGTCCAGGGTGGAGACCCTGTAGGGTGGAGGAGGGGTCAGTGACGACATGGATGTCAAGGTGGCCCACTCCCTTTTGCTGCCTGTGTGTGTATGGGGGCAGGTCCCCTGGATGGAGGGGGGAGGTGGTGGGCTTGAGGAGAAGCTCCAGAGTCTGTCGCCTCACATGGTTGTGATGTGTCCCCACCTGGAGCTTTCCCAGCTCACTGCCTTTCTTGTTCCACGCCCTCTCCTTCCCTCGCCAAGGAGCCCATCCGACAGGGGTCTCAGAAGACCCTTCTCCTGGGTCACAGTAGGGTTCTTCCTCAGGCCTCTTGGACGGCACAGGTCTCCTTTTTAGCTTGGTGCTGGGGACTCTGCTGCTTGGGCCTGAGGCCCCTTGGCAGGGCCTGCACAGGCATGGGGAGAGGGAGCCCTGAGACCCCGCCCTTCTCCTGCCTGTGCCTTGCTGTCAAGTTCGAATCCCTCCGAGGACTCCTGAGGCAGCTGTGTCTTCCCTGCCACCTGTCTGTCTGTGAGCTGTTGTCCTGCCTGTCAGGCCGCAGAGCAGTCACCACGCTGCACAAAGAGCCGACATTCACACACAGCCAGACCCAGATGCAAACACGGCTTGACTCACAAATACCCAGAGACCCAGACGTGGGACGCATGACATACCCAGGCCAAGACGCAAACCTGACTCTGCTCGCCATCACACACAGATGTCGGCCCTGTGTACACAGAGATAGGTGGTGTGAGCAGGATGAGCTCCTTGGAAGCCTTTGTCGGGTGAGGATCTGTGGCTTCCTCCATGTGCACACGATACCTGTACCTTAACTAACCTGGCAGACACGCTGTGTACCCACCCACACCCAGGCCACCTCGGGTGCACACCCGCATGCATTACATCAGCTTCCTGCATGTGGGATGCCGGTGCCTCGTCACCCCAGGGCGTGGCAGAAGCCTCTGTGGACAACCCTAGCAAAACCTCACTTTCTCCCGGAATGTGACCCCAGTGTGGCCGACCGTAGCAACCGGGCAGCTGCCTAGTGCTTCTCCTTCCGCAGACCCTGCCCTCCTCCCCCTGCATGTGCACCCCGTACATTTGCAGGGTGGTCACTGAATCTCTGTCCTGGCTGCCCCTGCAGGTGCCACTCCACAGGTCCCTCCCCAGCACAAGCTCCACACGGCCCTGGGTTCTCTTTCCTTTGCTGCTTTTGCCAGATGTCTGGCCAAGTCCTAGTTTCTGCCCTGCCTGCCCAGCAAGGCTGGATCCATCTGTTACGAATGGAGGGGATCCCTTGAACTTATCTGCTCACCTCCTCTCATGGCAGAACCTCTGCCAGGCTGGAGCCTGGCACCCTGGCTGTGCCTCTCAGAGATTGGTACCACTGGGAAGTCGCTGGCCTGAAGCACTTCTGTGGGCTTCAGTGAGGCTCCAGAGCAGACTGACGTCAAGTCAGGGGCAGAGAAGGGCTCCAGCTTCTGGCTTCCACCTGCTCCCATAGGCCCTCACACCAGGTTGGCCAGAGTGCTGATTCTCAGCCCAAGCCTGGCCCTGCCTCTTGCTGGCTGTGTGGCCCAAGCAAATCAGTTTCCCTCTCTAGGCCCAGCCGCAGCTCTGGGAGACAGCTCAGCTCAGCTCAGCTGGGAGTGAGGAAAGACAGAGGTGTGAGGTGGCAGCCCTGTGCCGATAAGGGAAGGAAGCTTGGCCCAGCTGAGCAGTGTAGGGCACGAGCGGTCCCTGCTGAGGAGGCCTGCAGCCTGGAAACGTAGTCCACATGAGGTCAAGCAGGGATTGCCCAGCCTGGAACTTCCTGGGGTGGCCACTGTGGGTGACCCGAGGGCAGGGGCTGCAGTTATAGTTTTTCTTTTTTTTTTCTTTTCTTTCTTTCTTTCTTTCTTTCTTTCTTTCTTTCTTTCTTTCTTTCTTTCTTTCTTTCTTTCTTCTTCCCTCCCTCCCTCCCTTCTTTCCTTCCTTCCTTCTTTCCTTCCTTCTTTCTTTCTTTCTCTTTGTTTTCTTTTTTTGAGACATGGTCTCACTGTGTAATCCAGGCTGACCTTAAACTCACTTATGTAGCCCAAGCTGGCCTCAACTCAAAGCAATCATCCTGCCTCAGTCTCCTGAGTGCTGGGATTATAGGTGTGCTCCACTACGCCTGGCAGTAATAGTTTTCATCTGTGTTTTGGTTTTTTGAGACAGGGTCTCGCTCTGAGTTCAGACTGGCTCTGAGTTCACTATGTAGCCCAGGCTGGCCTAGAACTCATGGCGATCCTCCTGTCTCGGCCTCCCAAGACTGTGGGTGTTTTTATCCCTCAAAATGTGCTCTATTTTTAGGGCTGCAGACTGGCACTTGCAAACAGTGACTCAGAGGGAAGAAAGGGAGAAGAGGCAGAAGGGTGCTGGTGGGGAGACACCTCTAGAGAGGGGGTCCAATGGGAAGGAAGGAAACAAACGTATGATCTTCCTGCCTTGTGCTGACAACGTCAGCAACCTTGGCTGCACACTCACCGAGCATGTCATGAGCGCATCGTGCGTCCCCAAGGCTGACAGGCGATGGGGAAAGAGGTTGCTGTTAGCGGCATCCTTCTGTCCCTGCCATGGTGGTGTGTGGTACGTGTTACTGTGGTTACCTCTCGGATGAGGCTGAGAGAGGTCTGCCGACTCTCCTGCTCTGCTAGCAAATGTTGCACCTCTGTCAGAGTGAGGCTACCCTCTACTGGGCCCCCTATTGGAGGGAGCAGACCTGAGTTCAAATTCTGACTTTGCTTCTGACTAGCTGTGTAACTTGGGGCAAGTTACTTCATCTTCCTGAGCTTCCTACAAAGCGAGGGTCGTACTACCTACCTGATGTGTTGGATTTCTGTTGGTTTTTGTTTTTGTACTGGGAATTGAACCCAAGGTCTTTGTACTGAGCTACATACCCATCCCTTTCAAATTTTGTAAAATTTATTTCGAGACGGAACCTCACTAAGTCACTAAGTTGCCCAAGCTGGTCTCGAACTTGTGATGCTCCTCCCCCAGGCTTTCAGAATCCCAGAGCCCTGGGATTACAGGTAGGTGCCACCGTGCCTAGCTCCAGATAGATTTGTTTCGAGGATTAGAAAGACTGGCATAGGGCAGGGAGTGGTAGAGCCCTTGCTTAGCACATGCGAAGCTCTGTGTATTTCAGTCCCCAGCACTGGGGCAAGTGGGCTAATGTAGATAATGTCTGCAGCAGTGCTCAGCTCATTATGGGTATCTGTCTGGGTCCTTTTAATTTTTAATTTTTTTGCAGTACTGGGAATTGAACCCAGGACTTTACATATGCTAGGCAAAGCTCTCTAGTGCGGAGCCACGTTCCCAGCTTTTTTTTTTTTCCTGTCTTTTTGAGATAGGGTTTCCCTATGCAGTTCAAGCTGGCCTTGAGCTCACTTTATAGCCCAGGCTGGTCTCAAACTCTCAACGATCCTTCTGCTTCAGCCTCCTGAGTGCTGGGATTACAGGTGTGCACCACCACTCCCGGTTGTTCTCAGCTTTTTA